TTGCGGGAAAGTAAAGATGAGTTTCGAATTTTACAGTTGATTGGGAATTTTAAAAGAATGCAATTTTGGTGTTTATAATCCGCGATGGATGGTTACCTACGAGCGGCTATTGGATTTGAACGAACACATAATATCCTAATCTTATTTGCGGTTACAAAAAGTTAAGCTATATCCACAATCTCCTATTTCTGGCAACGATTAATCCACTACTTGGCAGTTACATAACGGTGCCGATGACCTCGTCGACTGGCGAAGGTTTTTGTCCATAACCTATGATGTCTTATCATTTTACCGACGAGTTGTTGAATTCCTCCAAATTGTCGATTATTCAATTTATTGACTATTATTTTCACCAAACTCTGTTCTCATCGACTATATCTGTTATTATTCAATAACAAAGAAAAGTTGGTCATTTTTTTTATGTCAACGACTACATAACACATAAAGTCACTTTGCCTTTTTATTTTTTTTCCTTCATTTTGCCAAAAGAAATTTGACACGCTGATATCGAAACCATATGCCAGAATATGCAAGCGCTTGGCTCAATTCACATTCCATACGTGAATTTATGTTGATGAAGTTACTTATGCTATCGTCGATGTCTCTTCTTCATTTTAATCATATAAAAAAATGCGATTTATGGTGCATTTTAGTAAATCCCTAGCGACAAGACTAGTTGGGTCATCGCGACTAGTGGGATTTGGATCGATCCAATCAATTTCCAAACATTTCGGACTACAAAATCGTGTGGTCAGGCATGGAAGCTGATAGCGGAAAGCAATACAAACCAATTGTCAACCCGCATTTGTTTAAAGGATTAGAAAGCTGTGTGATTGTGATTCAAGACGATCCTGCCAAACCATCATGGGATCTTTGAAATAGCCACTCTCTTCTTGTCTCGACTCAAATCAATTTGGAGGTGCTTTTGCGTTGGAGAAGCCTCTAGAGTTTATCTCATTAATTAGTATAATCCGTGGCCTCAATCATTGCTTGTATGTCATTTCCTAATTTATCTTTTGGGTATGGACTCTAGTGCTCGTACCTTAAGGTCTGATCATTTGGCTCTTTTCTTTTTGCAACGATGGGAGTGTCGGAGGACATGTCGTGTTGGGAGATTGATGGTACCGAGAAGGGTCAAAAAGATCTTCAGATGGGACGATTTGAAAGCGCTCAAGAGAAGGATCCGAAGTTACCCTTTTTGGGTAGGTAGATGATAAGGGTGATCGGGTTCTGAGCGGTTCGGTTCCCGACTAAGAATCAGGAATCGGAACGGAAGGATCGGTTTTCAATTTCGGAAATCAAGAACTATACCAAACCAGTGAGAACCAGGAATAGGACTACACCGACCGGTGCGGTCCGGTTCCTAGATGGGCCAATAGAGTCGGTAGCCTATTCAGTTTGTTTTTAATTATCATTAATATTCAAGATGAAATTGAGGATGTTCTTAATAATCAATGCGTTTCTACATGCAAAGATTATTCCAATTTGCGGTCAAATTTGGTTGGAATGAGCAACTACTGTTGTGTCTTGATTTGTTATTATCATTTTACTCAAGTGTATAAATAAACAAGAAAATATCACCAAAAATCCCAAACTATGCCACTTGTGACAAATTTACCCTGAACTTTTTTTTGTGACACGAAAAATCCCAAACTATGCCACTTGTGACATATCTACCCCATAATACTTAGGCCCAAGGGCATTTTCGTCTTTTTCCTTTTTCTATTTTTTTTTTCATTTTTTTTCCTTTCTTCTCTCTTCCCTCCGTCGGCCATGGAGGAGGGAAGTTGGCGAGGGCGGCCCTCGCCGGCGTTGGGGTTGGGCGAGAGTCACCCTCGCTTGGGCGGGTGAGGGCCAGGTGAGGGCTGCCCTCATCAGCGTCAAACGAGAGCCGCTCTCGCCTGGGTGGGCGAGGGCCAAGCGAGGGTAACCCTCGCCCGCCCAGGCGATGGCGACTCTTGCCCGACGCCGGCGAGGGCCGCCCTCATCGGCTTTCCTACGCCATGGCCGGCGAAGGGAAGAGAGAAGAAAGGAAAAAAAAAAACAGAAAAAGGAAAAAGACGAAAATGCTCTTAGGCCAAAGTATTGTGGGGTAAATATGTCACAAGCGGCATAGTTTGGGGTTTTTCGTGTCACAAAAAAAAGTTCAGGGTAAATTTTATCACAAGTGACATAGTTTGGGATTTTTTGTGGCAGTTTCCCTAAATAAACATAGTTGCTCTAGTCTTGAAGGGCTTTCTTTTGTGAAATGGGAGATAAATTAGGGTTTTTATACAGATTTTTAAGAAATAAAAAAATTAATAAATTAAAAAAAAAATCAGCCCGATTTGGGTAGGTGGTTCCACACTCGAAACTGGGAACCGGACCAAAATTATGAAACTAAGAACTGGAAATCGGACTAGTGCCCCTAGGAACCACCTAGAACCGGCTGGTCCTGTGCAGGCGATTCTCAATCTGGACGGTTCCTTTTGCTTACCCCTACTAGATGATGAATTCAAAGCAATGATGGAATTTACATACAATAAAGTAAATATAGCATAATTTCAAGCGTATGTTGCACGCAAAACATTGATGAGGTTCATTGCCAGAACGGACTTATAAAGCATCCGACTAAATCTCATCGAATCGAGGCAGTTTTTTTCTTCCGTTGGCTGTGTCGCCAAGAGTCTAGTGCCTCAATTTCTCGACTCCTATGGAAAAACATGCGAATATTTTGGCCGATCCCGACAATTTCCCTATCCAAATATTTGGCCAAATTAGCAAATTAACGATGCCATGATTTTGCTTAGAGCGGTTTAAGCAAGCTGTCTAATCGAGAATCGATGTCCAAATTGCGTAGATAGTCACACTTACACACTTATGTGGTCTTATTGCTTAAAACAAAAGGAACACTAATTATAGAGGAGAAAAAGTTATAGCTTTCTGGCAATACACAATTAGGGAAGCTTATCCAAAAAATCATTAATTTATTGTAAGGATATCAATTCAATGCTAAATTTTTTAATTTGACAAATGTAATCCTAAATCTTTTGAATTCTATGTAATTCATTTGACTAATTTAAACCGAAAATCACTAATATAGTGATCTAGTTAGGGCTGGCCGTCCTACCTTAACATGTACAACTTCACTAAAAAAAACATCGTTTTGAGAAATTTTATAAATTGTTTTACTTCCTTTTTTCTTTCTTTCTTTTTTTATTGTACATGGTCTCCTTCTTCTTTCTCTTTCAAACTTTTTACTATTCTGATTTTTTTTCCTTTCCTCACTGTTCATCGTCTTTTTATGCCGCCCCCACCATTGGCGTGGGGCGGCATATGAACGTAATGTCTTTTTGGTGATGAAGTGGAAAGAGATGAAGACATAATGAACAATGGTATGGACAAAAGAAGGAAAAGAAAACTAAAAAAAATAAAATTCAGAATTCTTTTTAAAAAATTACAAAAAGATGTCGTTTCGATTAATTTCTTCAATGTCCATCATCAATCGTGCTACTACACTAACTAGACCGCCACGTCGGCTATTTTCAACCTAAAGTGCCGGATGAAAACTGTTCATAACTACGTTAGTCAAATTGAAAAGTTCGAGACCAAATTGAAATCTATAAAATAGTTTATGACTTGTTGGGTAATTTTCCTTATGATTAAGAAATGCATCTATTTTGGCACTTTGGCACTTGACAAGAGGCCAAATAGACCGTGGTTTTGATTAGTGGAGACCATTGGTAGCCTTTGAAATCGATCATCATGCCCAATTATTTTTAGATCCATACGAAAGGTTCATGAATTTTTTATTACATCTATCGATAATGGAAAAGTTCTTTTGACACGAAGAAAATTAACCTCACGAAACGCGTAAAGAATTGGTTGAAATAGCTAATTTATTTGGCCATCTCTCGTAATAGTCTGCCAAAAGATATCAACTCAAAGTTTATAATACTAAAAAGAATCATCCTTAGTGACAATTACTTTGAACTGTACACTCCACAAGCATGCAATCGTGACCCAAGAGACACTTGTGTTCGGCGGTACCACGATGAGTGGACCTTGAGATCAGATTCCAATTCCACTTGGTTGCCTGGCCAGCACTGAGTTCTGAATCATTGGCCACTTGAGTATACATGGAAAAACTACCAATCATCCTTAAACCAATCAATCAAGATCATCAATCAAATAGGTTAAAAGCAGGCTATAGTAACCTAGGACTAAGTTGAATCACTTTATCATCTAGATTTGAAATCACGGCAAACGTCAGAATCTCTACAATGCTTCATAATCTATTATTCCATGAAGAAACAAGACCAAGTAAACCACAAGGAGATGACTGATGCACTTGTTAGCAGAATATCCAATGAGCTAGTTGACACTGATTGACGTCCCGAGAACTTGAGCTGAAATCGTATCGACCCAAGTGTTGGTGTTAGTCCAGATCTTCGATGTAATTATAACCCCGCCATCCACTCCCACATTTAGACCAATCCGGCTGTCTTAGGAGGAGGTGTAGGAACGCTCTTTTTTCAAAGTTACCGATTGAGAATATCCGATTCTATTCGTGGGGATCTTCCAAACTAGAGATAAGATATATGTGATTCAATAGATTCCTCTTTATCCCGTCCTTTGTTATCCGATCCAGAAAAGCAGACTAAAGACAGCCAACTTGGCACAATATGGGAATAGCATCAGCATATTGCATCATGCTAGTCTTATTATAATTGAGTTCGTTTTAATTAGGGATCATATCTCACGTGTCCGATCCAATTTTGTGTCATTATCAATGATGCACTATCAATCTACTCTGGGAATCATTAGGAAAGGTGAAAAACCACTCCAAACAACAGTAGCTTAAGAAGCATTACATTGCCTTTCCTGAAAGTCTCTCTGCTAAATCTACCGTAAATTACCAATTTCTCTCGCTTTGGATGACGAGAAGTAGAGTCGACAAGGAGAATGAAATTATTCTATCTGAAGGCTCCCATAGTTTTCTCTATTAAGCACCAAAGCTTGAAAGACTAACTAGGCTTAATCAGTAAAATAATTCTTACAAATGATAGTCATCCATGTATACTTACTCAAGCAACTTCATCTTTAAGCTGCTAGTCAGCTAAGCATGTCTTGTGTGAGTATCAAACATTATGGAAAGGATGGCAATACAGCATTTTCACATTCTTCTTCGGAAAATGAATATGCTCCCCATGATATCAGCCAAAAGCAGACATGAGCCACTCACACACTGTTGAAGAAAGATATAGAAGCCAGACCAAGAGAAAAGTTTAAAAAAGAAATTTCCTCTAAGCTACAGTAGATACCTATTTTTTTTTATGTAGGCAGGTTTTGCAATCTTATATGCTTGTACTTTTGTTCCCTGTTGAAGCATCTCGCACTCTCTGTCAAGCCTTTGGACAGGACAAGCTTCAGAGCATCAACTCCCTCTTGCAAAGCGACGTCAATCTAGTTTGTCAAAGCCATAGGAGATCATATCATCAATATCACTGAGTAATGTTGCATGTTGGTTGAAGATATGGCAACACAACCTAAAGAAAGATTAAAGCGCCTATTATTTGTTTGATATAGTTTTGAAATCGGGGGCATTGTCATGGACTATTATGGAAATAAGGTAGGATTATACATACTACTGAAAAATAGATTTGTATAAGAAAAGGAACATATGGAAGCATTATCAAAACCTGTCAAAACTTCACAGTAAGAGAAGCATCAATTATTATCATTTAATATCACTGGATAGCAATGCTTTTGTTTATCTAACATGTTTCATAGCTGGATCATGTTTTCTTTTGTCCTGTACCTAATGTTCTTTAAAATGGATTAGGATGCTTAGGATATGACTAGTAAGCAATTAAATGCTTACCCGCTCCCTCGCTGTCCTATTGAATTTTTGAAGCAAGAATGCTTTGGGATCCATCTGCCCAGGAGGCCTGCCAATACCTACACACATCCACGTGCACAGAGACGTAAATGATTTACTTCATGAAAGAGGTGGGTAAACTAAACAGTGCCAGAAACTTACCAATTCTCAGCCGAGCAAATTCTCTGTTCCCACGAAAATGATATATTACGCTCTTCAGCCTAATGCAGAGAGAGAGAGAGAGAGGGAGAGAGAGAGAGCAGTGCTTCAGTAACCAGAAGTGCATGAAGCTACTGGGAATCCCATTAGTAACCTCACAAGTCAAAGCAGTTGGTTTTAGTCCTTCAGAATTGCAGGTCATATGAGGCAGTCGAAATTGCACCAACAAGACAACCGAAACTTTCCAGAACACCAGGAAACCAATTTATGTCTCATTAGATTTTATTCATTTCTACATTGTAGAGGTGTAAACCAGGCTTCGCGAACATGCCTTTTTTTTTAAATTTATCCTACATTTATTTAGTTCATGACTGTTTATCCGATTTATTAGCAAAGAACTTGTGATAGGGAGATTCTCACGTGCGTTGCATGCAGCATTGAGTCGGTATTGGTCGCAGGATCTCGGGTCATTCCCAATTTAAGGACGTTTTAGAGACACTTTTGACTTGTTGGGATCAAAGTTGGGCTCGTATGGAAAAGGCCACCATACACACTGACCTTTTCTTGTGGGCTTGAGTGTTTTTTGTTTCTTTTTGCCATTTGCAAGCGTGATGTTGACTCATTTCCTTATGACACTTAGATAATATGTCAGTGCCAGTGGCCTTATGATGTGAGGGAACCTAACCAACCGTCTATCCATTTTGCTTCACCAAGAATGCCAAGTGGAAAGATCCCATACTTGGCCCTCTCGTTGATACACCCGTGTGTCCATTCATGTGAGTAGGCAAAATTTGCAATAAAGAGTTTCCGATAGTATGTTGCTTGTTGCTTGCCCCCATCTCCTGGAGCCTCCAAGTCAAACTAGCACTCTATGCTTGGCATCCAAACCAACTAGATATGTATATTTCTTCTCTCATGCCCAATCTACTTTAGTCCAACTATGAATGTTTCCAATATATCCCTAGAACCTGGGTGTAACGCCTCTGCACAAGTCATTCCATTCTAGAAACTCTTGTACATACCTTAGAAGTTCCCAGCAACTACTGAGTAATAGCCAACCATTCTGTACATGTGGGTTAAGATATCCCTCTCTGTCGCCACCACGTCCCATATTTAGTTTTTATTCCCAAAAAAACCCCCGGTATAAGAACACTGTAGTTTGAGAGTGCTAAGTTGCACAGTATTCATCCTCCAGGAATCTAGAGAATAGTTGGTCAGTCAAGAGAAGCTACACTAATGACAGAACGACAGTATAATTCAAGGTCTCATGACACTGTCATAACTTGAACATGAAAAACTAGCTGTAAGCATGCACGAAAGGTGTGCTCTGCAGGCTATCCAATGTATTTAGCACAACAAAGACGTACTGAACAGCAACTAAAGATGGCTATCTAATGTAATCTCTAGTCCTTACCCATTGTGACTTCCATGACCACCTTTAAGTTGAAGCCGAAGCACCCCACATGGCAAGTCCATGTCATCATGAAACTGAATAAAGATGACCAATTGTTACACAGAAAGAAACTCATTCAATGTAAGTCAATAGACAAAACATCGATATGGAAGAGCAAATTACCACAAGCACCCGATTAAGAGGCAGCTTATAATAAGCAGCTAGAGGTCCTGCCTGCAATGAAACGAAGCAAACACATGCTGCATTACTACTGGGTCTGGATGAGCACTACTTGCCACAATTGCCATCCAATAATGCCATTATAAACATTCAACCTTCCATATCATGCACCTCCAGAAAGCTTCAATGGTAAAAATGTCTAACATAAAATTGTACTAGGAGCCAAATTTAACTTTTATCATTCATGCATGATTTCATCAAAGCATGTCATAAGTTTTTTTCAACAGAAAAAACAGATCTCGAAGACTTTGGCATGAAATGCAATGGTTATTCAGAGCCGACTAACTGATACACTTCAGAGACCAAGATTTTTGCTATGTTGTACAAGTAAACAGTAGAAAACCATGAAAGATAGAATCCAGAAGCCTTATAAAAAAAAGAGATAATCTATCTGCTCAAATGACAAGGAATAAAATGACTCTGGATAGATTTCGTCCACATGGCCAAGATTTGAGCAAAGATAAACTTACTCAGAAACATTTTTGAAAAAGTTTTACCATCAATAAAAGTCCCACTAATAACAACATTAGTTCTTTAAACTTCCCTCTTTTATTTCTCCATGTGAAGTGACTTAGAAAACCAACACTTCGATTTTCCGACCGACTTGTAATACAATGACCAGCAGGCATTGAAGTTGGACAGCTAACAAGTCCATTCATCAGCACAAAGTAACATCAATCAACAGAATTTGAAAACCTCAAGAGGAATGCAAACTCCCCATGATATCATTTGTTCTTAGTGTCAACATAATCTTCATTTCGACCATCATTTATGATGTACAAGTCCTCACTAAAATTTACGCAATCCCCATACAAAACAGAATACTTCATGTAAGGGATTTCATTCTGTTTGATTCTACTTCTACAACTTTTAGAACCCCGGTATTCTCCTATGACTTAACCATCTCTCACTTAAGCCGGTCCATCTTACAAAGGGCAGGAAAATCAGTTCGCAATTCAGCTTAATAAGGATTCCAAGTAGGGAAAAAAATCATCAAGAACGGCTTACCGATTCGCCGCTCAGATTCATGTAAGTCTGAGGCTTTGCGAGGAACACAGGGACATCATCAACAAAACCTGCATCAATATTCCATCCACCAAATTAAACGCAAGCCATACAATCCTCACAGAACAGAGCCAAAAAGATGATCACCGGGCACCTGCCTTGCCCGAACATAGCTTTGCAGTGGACCGTGCTCATCGGAATCCCTTGCGATTCGGCAAAAGCATCTATCATTTCAAACCCTACCTGCTTGATCAAAACCCAAACACAGAACTAACGGTTCTGGAACTAGGGATTCCAGGAAAAAGCAAAAAAAGAAAAAAGAAAGAAAGAAAACATATTGTAGTGCACAGTGACTGGGTGCAGCTATGTACATTATGCCTGGTTCCTCTGTACTTATCTCCGGGATTGCCCAAGCCGACGAAGAGCCATGGCCGTGGAGCCCCGGTGCAAAACCAACGTCTAGCAATCACGCTATGCATACAAAGATGTCTCTTTACTTCCCTTCTTTCCCAGGTTTGAGCTGGAGTTTAACGGTGGAAGAAGCAGACAGCAGCTTGCGACAGCCCTCCAAGTAGCCAACTCTGTACTGATCAAAGTCAGACCCCCACAGAACCATAAATTTCCCACGACATCAGGGAAGCATCATCGTCAAAAATCAAATCACCCCACCTAAAAAAAGACACCCAAGAAGCAGCTGCCGATCGCGACACGAGTCTCCGGAACCGGCAGTTTCACTTGGGCATTATCGCAAACACCTGAACTGCAGAGATGAATGCGTTGCATATGGGCAAGAAGATGGAACAAGATTAGAATCAAGACTGTACCCGAACGAAAGAGGCAATGCCAAAAAGGGAGATTGAAACCACCTTCAATCTTTCGTTTCGACGGCGCGTCCACCGTGCCCGGATGAATCTCTTTACCTCAAAAATTTGATTTTGATCTATGTACTTTGGCTGCAGGCATTATTAAGGCACCACATTGATGCTGTCACCGATCATAAATTAATTATTATTTTTTGTTACATTCCAATATTGACTATTGGGGAATGTCTTTTTTTTTTTTGGGGGTAACATAATTTGTAATTTGCGATATTTTATAATACGGTGTTTTTTTAATCGTTTATTGAATTACGATAAAAACGAAATGACTTAATTAAGAAAATATTCAAATATTCAGTGATCGGTAACCATCGCGTCATTAGCTTACGTGGCGTGACCGAGCCTATGCAGCTCCACCCAAAATATGACATGTGTCCTTCTGGTACGGAATACAAAAAATTAAGATCGAAAGCCATCTTTTCTCTCCCCTCTCGTGCACCTACGGAAAGGACCGAGACGAGCAACCTTGATCTCTATCTCCCTCTATGTAACAAATTTGGAAGCCTTTTTGCCAGAACCCTCAAACTCAGCCCCGCCACCGGCATAACCAGCCTCGCAGCCTCTTCCGCTGCAAAATTGTTGGCAACGCACCCGAGCTAGTCGGCGGTTTCTGGGAGTCAGAGCCAGAGCCGGAAGGGCAACGGGGACAAACGCGAAGGAGGAGGAGGACGGAAGTCTCTTGTAAAAGAGAGCTCAAACGTGTGAAAGGGAAAGCCATTCAAATGAATTCAATTGTTACAAAGAGGAGATAGAGAGAGAGGGAGAGAGAGATCGGGCAATGAATGCGAGGTTGCTTGGCTAAGTCCTTTCCGCAAATGCACGGAGGAGAGAGAATAATGGTTTTTGATTTTAATTTTTTTATTCTGGGCCAGAAAACACTTGTCATATTTCAAGTGGAGCAACGTAGGCTGATGACGTGGTGGTTACGAACTACTGAATACTTTCTCGACTCGACAGTATACAACTCAAGGGCTCCGTGCTCCCAGCACACTACATGGACTGCCTTTTTTTTATTATTTATAAAAAAGGCGGGTGGGGAATTTGAATGAAATTCTAATTTCTTATTTGTTTAGAATGATTAATTATTCAGTTGTAAATTTTCTCCAAATATTGCGACCCTAAAGCACTTGATATCCTTCAATAAAGGTGTTCTAATTTTGACCAGTCAACTTATATATCTTTTATTTTAAAAAAAATTGAAATTTAAGGCTCTATTAAATTATAGAGGAAAAGCCATAAGAAAAATAGTAAATGGTTCTTGTTTTTCTCCAAATGGGGTTGACCCACTTTGGCTTTTAGCACAAACAATCTATCCATATGTCAATTTTAATAGTTTTTTTAGGCTTAAAAAAGCCTCCTTTAGGATTCCAAATTTTGAAAAAAAAAAAGTCATCATTAAAAGTGCTCACCAAACCAAAATAGAAAAAAAGAAGAAAAAAGCAAATTGGGTGATTGTTGACACCTAAATTTCGGCGCATCATTTAGTGATTAATTGCATAGAAAATTAGGGATTAAATTTTAACCCCTGAACAAAAATATTACAAATCGCATAGCATAAAATTTTGGTTCATATACATTAACTGCATTTCGCATCGGATCGGCGGTGGTAAGCGAGTTTAAAATTCATCACGTAAATCGAGCTCGGGCACCGAACGAGACTCGGCTCACTCGGAAAGCATGGGTCAAAAATCACACGCAAAGGGGCTTGGTTGTCTTAATTTGAGCTTAAATTAGCCCATTATGCTTAATTAAAGAAAAGCCCAAATTAATTCAGCCCACTTAGAATTAAATTAAAGCCTAAACCTAAGCCCATTAGGACTAGAAAGCCCGGCTAATTGACCTAGATTTACACTATAAATATATGTTTATGTCTCATAATCTGGGGAGGGGGCTCTCATAATTTTTCAGATCGGATTTTTAGAGAGACATACGAGAGCAAGGAGAAAGAGAGAGTCGGTCGCGCATGCGCTCGCCTCACAGTCGCGCCGCCTCGCGACCGCACCGCACAGATAGCTGCTGCTGCTGTTTCGCGACGCCGCCATACCATCGCTGCGCCCAACGCCGCTGCCTGCGAAGCTTCGCACGACCTGCTGCCCCTGAGACTGGAATACTCTGACGCGACGACGAAGCTACTGAATCTGACCCCCACGATGACGCTGCCGTTATTTGTCGACCATCGTTGTTGATGCTCCATAATACACCGCCACGGCTGATTTCTTTCCCAACGACCAGCACAGCCGCACAATCGGAGTCCCAGCGACAGTCCAGGCGAAATCTCCAACCCTCAGTCCAGCATCATCTATAGCTTCCAACCCGTGAGCGACGCTACCACAGGAGACCATGATCTGACACACCACTTAGCCACGATTGAGGAAATAGCAAGCAGTGATAATTGGATTGTTTATTGGCTTAGTCAAAGCAAAAGTCAAGCTTGGAGCAGAGATGCCCAGATTCAAGCTATTTGTATGGTGAGAGCTTGAAACAAAAGAGCGACACACTCAGAAGATATCTGCATCTTGTCTTCGCCGCAAGTCACGACCAAAGGGCGGCCAGACTGAGTGGCCGAGAACTTCCACACTTCGAACTGTCGCAAGCTAGCCAAGGTCGAGAATTGCGAGCCACCGCCGGAAAGCCGCCTGTCCCAGCCTATTGGCCGCTGCCCAGAGACGCCCGCCGCGCCGCCGTTCCCGTCGTGTCACCGTCGCTAGCCGCCATTGTTCCCGACGTCGCGCCGCCGCTCCCGACGCACCGCCGAGCCGCTGCAGATTCAAATTAGGAAAGAAATCTGCAAATCAGGTAATTATCATATCCCGATTTGATTCGAATATTTGGTTGCCTAATTTGTGCTTATTGATATCTAATTTTGCATATTTGGATAATAAGCATCATTCCAATTAGGTTTTTATTTCCTTTTTTTGAAATCTTGGATATCTATTACTTTTCAAATTTGGATAGAATTTAGAATTTTCAAAATCTTTTGAATATATCCAAGATATTTAAGATATCTAAATTTTTTCAAGATGTGATCGATTAGGAAAATTTCCTAATCCGCAACCGCACACGTGGAAATAAATTTATCTATCAGACTTTAGATAGAGTTATTTCCATAGCGGGTATTTCGAATTTTAGGATCGATCTGTCAGGCTTCAGATTGAAACTTAATTCGAAAGATTTAGCGATTATATTTTTTTTACTGGATTTTAATTTCGAATTTCGATAAAAAGAAATACTAAAAATATTACTCTAGAATAGGTTAATTTCTTTAGTTTGAAATTGCATGTTTAGATAATTGGCATTTTTATTTCCGAATTTCATTAAAAAAAATACAACAAAAAATAATATGCCCGTCATTAGAAATAGGTCACGTCGTCGCATGACATATAGTTTGCATGTTAGGTTGCATTAATCGCATGTCAATTTTTTGCACGCCATTACATATAGTTTAGCTTTCCTTTAAATAAATAAAAAAAATCAAAAAAAGAAAATTTCTGCACCTTTGAACTCTAAGTCAGGATTTATCAAAATTGTCAAATTAAGTATTTTTCTTGAAATTGGTACCGAAAGGGCGTTAGGGAATCTAGCGTAACCAAGTCCCCGAATCTATAATTTCTGGTTCGCAGAAATAAAATAGTACTCCCGCTATTTTATTTAGGTTTCTAATCAACCTACCTTAAATGATTAGTGGCGACTCCCATTGAAAATATTTGCATGCTCACAATTGGACCTTAGTTGCGATTTGGTAGAGTTTGGGAGAACTCGAGCTAGGTTAGTTAATTTAATTGATCTAGTAATCCATTAGCCTAAGATCGGAAAATCCGATTTTTTTTTTAGGTTGCGACAGTGATATAGCTGTCGTGACTTCTATGAGAGCATCAAGCTATTGACATGCTCATGGCCTCTGAAGGATTTGAAACCCCCCCTCCCCACTAGCTGGAGAGTTTGCTGCCATCGGAGTTACTTCACATCTCACTCCATATATTTCCTTGAGCATAGACTGTGTGACTAGACTACTGTCAGCTGAACGTTGCTGATTCATTGCAATCTTTCGCTGAATTTGAGCCCGTGATATCGTAAGCTCTAGAAGCTGCTTAGGAGATGCAGTTTGATCTAGTGCTCACGATCTAAGTCTGTAATGTTTTGTCGGTTTTCTATCGGTGTAATCGATATTCTATTCGAGTTGTCTTCTCTTCTACTTGTTCTGGTACTAGTCCCAAGTGAATCCACAGTATTATACGAACTAGCTTGTTTTGGTAGTTGCTATTGGCACTAGTAGTTTGTAAACATGTGGCTCGACCTACTGTTTGATGCCATATAAATATTGAGTTTGTGTGCTGATGTTTGATGTCACCTGTATTTGCCAACAGAGAGACACCCAGTCATATCCTCTGGTGGATGAATAAGAGTTTATTCCTGCATTTTTCAACATCCACTGACCTTACATTCTAGGACTCGAACTAATTCTCGGTGCAGAGAACATTCGATTTGACCATTTCTCTCAGCTAAAACCTAAACGATCCAAAACCAGCCAATGATTGAGCCGCTGACCAACCCAATTCCCAGAAACACAACCATCATGATTGCGGCAAACTCTGCCTCTGAAGCCGGCACCGACTTTGGCGTCAGAATCATCAGGACGCTCGTAAGGTAACCATTTGTTAGCCCGAGCATGAATGTCAATGTGGCCATCGGAGCTTCGGTTTTCAACCAGTCGGGTCCGTGGAGAAAAACATAGAAGAGGGGATAGAATAGGAGCCTGGAGACGCAACCCCATGTGGCTTTCTTCAGGCTCTTCATGATGTAGATCGCAGTCAGGGACTTCCCGGCTAAATCGGCAACGTTGTATATCGTGATCAGCAAAACAGGATACCAATCCTGGAGAACCTCGGATTTCAAGTCCTCCGCGATGAATCCAGGAAAAATGGACAGCGTCACTAGATATATCATGACCATGGCGAGAGCAGGGAGCCGGATTTTCTTGGCTACAACCCAGAGCTTCAGCCCTGGGCATTGGAGATTGTCATGATGAAACATGTAATGTTGGCGAACAACTGGCAACTTGTACAGCAGGTTGGAGCAGACGAGGCACAGGAGCAGAATGAAGGTGCTCACTATGA